TTCTAGTTTTGTGTATTTTTTTGAAACTCACTGTTTTTTGTTTTTGTTTCTCCCTCTGTTCTGAGGCATTCCTCAAGTTTTAAGGAGTAGCCCCCATACCTCTCAGTTTGGGAGAAATTTGTGATAGGCCTAAGGTTGCAAAAGGTTTGGTTAACATAATCTTTCACCACCATTAAAGTTCTGAAACGTGAAGTATGTAAAATAGGACTGTTCATTGAAACACTTGTTACTTAGAGAGGTCTTTGGGGATCTTTGTCATGTCTCAGGGCCCCTTAGAAGCTTCCTTTTCAATGTGGTGTAATTATGGCTGTTGCTCGTTGTTGTTGTTGTTATGTGCCGTGGAGTCGGAACCGACTCATAGCGACCCTGTACAGGGTTTCCGAGGGTGTAAATCTTTACGGGAGTAGAAAGCCTCCTCTTTCTCCCGCGGAGCAGCTGGTAGTTTCGAACTGCTGACCTTGCGGTTCACAGCCCGAGTCGTAACCACTACGCTACCAGAGCTGTTGCTCAGAGCAGGTTAAAAGGAATCTTTACAATGGATAGCAAGTAATACTAATAATAGTATTAGTGTCATTTGTATGCTTTTCTGTATCCTGAGCTTAGAAGCACTGTATCCTCACTCTACAAATAGATCTGCAGGTATCACCAGTATACAGCTAAGGTTAAGTGTCTTGTCTGAGGTCATACAGCTAAAAGTGTGGACACCAGGACTTGAACTCAGGCAGCCCAGTGCAGAATTCATGCACCTAACCCCTGAGCATCAGGCAGATATTCCAAATGTCCTTTCCCACCCTTTGCCAGATACTGACTATCTTTCTTATTCCTGAAAGGCTTGGATGGAATTGATACCTGTTGTGCATTCAGAAGGAAGACGAGTACCATCCAAGTGCCCACCCCACAACTCCACTCGAATGTCTAATTCCATATGCCTAAAGACAAATTCCTGGCCTTGCCTGCACTTGCCTATGTCCACAACCTTTCTTGTCTCAGAAGCTAGTTGACGAACCCTAAAGGGATCTTGGATGCCCACCACACTTTTCCCATCCTCCATTTCCTGGTAGTGGAACAGTTAAATGCTGGGCTACTGATAGAAAGGTTGATGATCTGCGATGTGATCTGCTCCCGTAAAGATCACACAGCCTAGAAAATTCTTTGGGACAGTTCTGCTCGGTCACATGGAGTCACTATGAGTCAGAATCAGCAACAACATTTTCAAACTATCAATAAATCCTGTCTACTGCTTTCAAAACATGCCCAGAATTTGACTTCCCCTACATTTAGCTTCCACGATCTGCCATCATGACTCATGTGGCCCCTCTGCTTGGCACCCTGCAGAGGCTCCTTTATCACTCAGGGTAAAGCCAAAGGCCTTACAATACCCTGCAAGCCCCGCATCATCTGTCTCCCCATGGCTTTCGGACTCTATGTGTTACGTAGCCTCATTTTACCATGCGGGGCTCATCGCAAGTCCTGGAATGGAATCCCACTGGTTTGCACTTGCTGTACCCTTACTGGCACACCAGTCATTTCCCTACCCCCACCCCCAATCAGTAAGTCTTGATCCATCACCCTCTTTAGGAATTTGCTTAAATGTCACCTTCTGGGTGAGACCTTCCCTGACCACCCTATTATTTTACATAGACCTCCTCTGCCGTGCTTCCTCTCTTGTCTGCCTTATTTTTCTTTCAAAACTGAATTCTGTTTATTATTTATTTGTCTGTTTTCTGTTTCTTTGCTCCTGGATATAAAGTTCATGAGGGCAAGATGGCTCTTTTCCCATTTTTCTTTTGTTTCATTAAGAACTGTGTCCTGTGTGTGTTGTTGTTGTTGTTAAGTGCTGTTGAGTCGATTCCGACCTATAGCAAACCTGTATAAGGTTTCCAAGGAGTGGCTGGTGAACTTGAACCCCTGATTTTGCAGTTCAAATGACTTTGCAGTCTGACGCATTAGCCCACAGTGCCACACCAGGACTCCTATGTATGTAGGTGCTCCGTAAGTACAAGAAGGTTTCAAAAAGTTTAAAAAAACTTCCACTAACTTTAAATTCCATTTTCCAGGAGCTTTTTGAAGCCCACTGTGGCACTGTGGGTTAAGGCACCAGATTGCAAAGCCCTTTGAACTGCAAGGTCAGCCGTTTAAGCTCACCAGCTGCTCCTTGGAAACCCTATATAGGGCCGCTATGGGTCGGAACCGACTTGGAGGCACTTAACAACAACAACATATTGAATGAATAAATGGCTTAGGAGGCAGTCTTATAAGAGGTCAGCTTTGAAGGAGTGTCCAAATGGAATGAAAAGGATCGTTGGAAGTTCCAGCGAAGATGAGGGAATAGTGTTGGGAGAGTTGTGAGCTCATATGAAGTGTAACAATGGCTTGGTCTGCCCTTACTTGAGGACACGTGAAGGAGACAATGGAAGGGAGGTTGGGGTGAGACTGAGGTTAAGGACTCTAAGCTGGACAGTGGATATGAGTTATACGTTTGAGCCACTGGTGTTGTGCAGAATGGTTAATAGGACAGGAGCAATAGCAGGAATTTGTTGGGTTAGATGGGAAAGAGACCAGGGGAAGTCAGATATGGGGATACTTTCTGAAAGTCCTGAGATAGTAGCATGACACAGAGAATGAAATGGAGGAATTGGAAACATCCATCAACATTCAGCAGCAGATGGTAGTTCTAGTGAGGCTCGTGGCAGAAGCAGGTAAACGTACTTCAGCTTGGATGAGGGCAATGATACTCCCAATAGAAACAAGAAACAGGAGGAAGAACTGGCTCTGGACAAGATGCTGAACTCTATTTGGAGCATTGATGTGTTGTTGAGTGCTGTCTACTCAGTTCCTACTCATAATGACACTGTATATGGTTTCTGGAGGAGTAGCTGGTGGGTTTGAATTTGTAGTTTGCAGTCCAGTGCTGATCCTCCAGCACCACACTAGGAGTTCTCCCAGAAATGCTGGGTAAAGCTCCAGGTGAAGATGCTAAAATAAGAAGGAACTTCAAACAGTTGATGAAAAATTTCGATCAACTTTCAATTCCATTTTTTCTTGAACTTTTTAAAGCCCCCTTGTTGGTCTTCAGGGAGCTGAAGAGTAGACAGATTGGGAGGGAGATTGAGGAAGTTTCTGCCTAGGGCAGGTAAAGTTAGGACAATATGAGATGATAGAATTAGTGGTCGATCTTACAGTCCTGGAACAGAGGACCATGGTACTATCAAGGGAGACGAGTGGGAGCGGAGTGTGGGACCCTACCCAGAGAAGCGGTGATGCCAGAGATGGAGGCAGAGGTGGTAATATGGAGAGATGGAGCAGCTGAGGACTCTAGACTCATGGAGGGAGAGGGGATGTGTGCTGGTGGCTGGGGGGCAGGGTGTGCCCTTTGGCTGTTTGAGTGATTGTATGTATAGTCCAGAGTGTTTTGGTGCACATCCAAAACCAGAAAAAAACAATGGACTAGAATAGAAGAATATACTGCTGAATGATGAAGCATGCAGGGGATTGTAATTATTGCAATGAAATGAACTGATGTTTCCCATGTAAACTATCACTCAACATACAATAAAAACTTAAAAAAAAAAAAGAGCAATATGGCTGTTTTCCAAACTTTGCCACAGTACACCAAGGACACTGCAGCACGCTTAGGAGGTGTGGAGAACTATTTTACATTTTTGTGGGAAACTTGGTCATACTTGACATCTGTTGGCTACCATATGAACTACTAGCTTGAGGTAGTACACGGTATCAGAATTAACACTGCCCTTCGTTCCTTTTGATGACCTTTGTGAAGATGGGTTTAGTGGGTTTGCTGTAGAAATCACTGTGAAACAGGAAATGAGTGTTGGTGTCCAATTGGCTTCCAGGGTTTGAGAAGCAGTGGCATGTCTAGTAGGTCTATACATCCTGTTAGTAAGCAATTGTGATTATTTAAGAATAAAAGAAAAATAATTTTTCTTTCAGTTTATGTGCATTACTTTTTCAGAATTTACTAAATTACAAAGGTATAATTTCAGTTATAAAAGAAAAATTCTTTTTCTTTCATTCTTAAATAACCACAGTTGTTTAGTAAGGAGCTCTGGTAGCGTAGTGGTTATGAGTTGGGCTGCTAACCTCAAGGTTAGCAGTATGAAACGAGCAGGTGTTCCACAGGAGAAAGGTGAAGCTTTCTGTTCCCATAAAGATTTACAGCCTCGGAAACCTTGTACAGAGTCGCTAAATCGGAACCAACTCCACAGCATACCACCACCAATTTACTATTAAGTTATTTGGACATAATTACTTAAGAAGTGTAATTGTTAGATCTTTCTTTGGGCCTGGGAGTGCCTTGAAAAACTCACCAAGGAACTAAGTTTGCCAAGAGCTGAGAAATTTTGAGAACTTCTGCTGTTTCTTTTTCTGGGTGTTACATGCGCTGGTTGTGGTACTGTGGGTTAAGCAATGGGCTGCTAGCCAAAAGGTTGGCTATTGAAACCCACCAGCTGCTACATGGCTGAAAGGTAAAGCTGTCTGCTACCAAAAAAGACTTAGTCGCGGAAACCCTATATAGGGTTGTTGCTATGAGTCGGAATCAACGTAATGGCAATGATTTTATGTGTAGATTGTCAAAGAGTAAAAGCAGGGTTAGAAGGAAGGGATGGAAAGAAAGGCTCAGGAGCTGAATCCAAAAAATGCTATTGTTAAGTGATGCCGAGTCACTTCCGACTCATAGGAACCCTGTGTAGGATTTCCTAGCCTGCAAATCTTTGTAGGAGCAGAAAGCGTCATCTTTCTCCCACAGAGTAACTGGTGGGTTCGAACTGCCAAGCTTGTGGTTTGCAGCCTAGTGCTTATACTACAAAGTCAATGCTTTCCCCCCAAAAGTCTTCTTGTCGTTATTGTTAAATGCCATGAGTCAGTTCTGACTCACGGTGACCTTGTATGGGGTTTCCATGGAGCAGCTGGTGGGTTTGAACCAGCAACCTTGTGGGTAGCAGTTCAGTGCCAAGCGGGAGACTATTCTGGTGCGTAAGAATCCCCTTCCATTAAGTGTGGCAAGTTAATGCTTTCTGTTCCTTGTCACGGGGACTTCTCCACAGGTTAGCCCTATTCCTATTCAGTGAGAAACACCCAAAGCAAGCTAGTTGCTGTTGAGTCGATTCTATCTCATGGTGACCCCATGTGTGTCAGAGTGAAACTATGCTCCATCGGGTTTTCAATGGCTGTAACCTGTGGGAAGTAGTGAGCCAGATCTTTGATCTGAGGTACCTCTGGGGCACTGATAACAGGAAGCCCTGCTAGATGCTGGCTTTCGTAACCTTTATATTTTATTAACCAAAAAAATAATACATACTTAGGGCAGAAAACTGGAATATATGGAAAATCATAAAGAAAATCCCACCTATAATCTCATGACCCAGAGGAAAGTTCTGTTAACATTGTGAACTATGGTCTCCCAGATTTTGTAAAGTGGAATTAATGTACAAATGCACTATTGTGGTTGTCATTGGTAGTTGCTATCAAATTGCTTCCAATTCCTGGTGACGCCACATGTACACAGTAGGACTGTTCCACAGGGTTTTCAAGGCTGCGACCTTTCAGAAGCAGGTCACCAGACCTGTCTTCCAAGGCATCTCTGGGTGGGTTCAAACAGCCATTCTTTTGGATGAAGTTGAATGCTTAACCATGAGTATATTTGGGGCAGCATCAATGGGCTCAAGCGTGGCAACAATAGTGAGGTTGGCCCAGGACTGGGTAACATTTCATTCTGTTGTACATAGGGTAGCTATGAGTCAGTACTGACTCGATGGCACCTAACAACAACAAGAACAACAATGCAGTGGACTGCAAAGTCAGTTTGAATGGCAACGTTGGCAGTTCAAATTCACCAGCCGCTCCTCGCAAACCCTATACAGGGTCACTATGGGTCGAAACTGACTAGACGGCATTTAACAAGAACAACAACAATGCACTCATAACCTTTTAAACAAGTGACAACATATAATAATACTTCTTATATAGGTTGTGGAAAGGACAATCTATAAATATTTTGGCATTGAATCAGAATCATTTTCAAAACATAAATTTTATCTATCTTTGGGTTTCCGTGTTAGACTGTTTACATGATATCAAAACTTGAGACTATCTGAAGAGTTGACTGAATTTTCCATTTTCCATTACAATTCTGAGTTGAGAACATTGTCATTATCATGTAGACTTCTTAATTTGGATCATCAGTTCTTACTTTGGGTGACTGAATGATGTAATAAACATGCTTGAGTCTTCAAGTATGGAATTTGAGTGTAGAAATAAAAAATGAGTTTTCCAGCTGATCCGACATCATTGCATATAATTGCCCCATTTCTGGTTGCTTGTCATGAGCTGTTGGCATTTGTTAAAATTAGCTTTACGGTCTGTCTCAGATTAGCGGCAAGTGTGGTAAATGAGGGCTCACTCTTAATGAAACTAATTTGTATTTGAAAATTTAACTACATTTATTGCCCCCATTATTTAAATGTGTGCATTCTAGCTAATAGTAAAAATGAACCTGTAAGCTGAGATTGCAGTACTTACACAAGTAACTATCAGAAATTCAAGTCAGATCTAAAAGAGGATGTGAAATAAGGGATATCATTGTTGATGTTGGATGGATCTTGTTTGAAAGCAGAGAATACCATAAAAATGGTTACCTGTGTTTTATCAACTATGCAAAGACAATTCAACTGTGTGGATCAAAACAAATTATGGATAATATTATGAAGAATGGGATTTCCAGAACACCTTATTGGAATCAACCAGAACCATGACCAAGAGTCAGTCATTCAGACAGAACAATGGAATATTGTATGTTTGAAATCAGGAAAGGTGTGTGCAGGGTTGTATCCTTTCAACATATGTGCTCAATCTGTATACTGTGCAAATAATCTGAGAAGCTGGACTATATGAAGAAAGCATCAGGATTGGAGGGCAACTCATTAACAACCTGTCATTTGCAGATAACACAACCCTTGCTTTCTGAAAGCCAAGAGGGCTCAAAGAACTTATTGATGAAGGTCAGTGATGATTACACCTCAACATAAAGAAACACAAAAACCCTCACGACCAAATCAGTAAGCAGCATCATAATAAACAGAGCAAAGATAGAAGTTGTCATGGATTTAATGTATTTGGATCCACAATCAATGTCCATAAAAATAAGAGCAGCAATCAAGAAATCAAAGGATGTATTGCACTGGGCAAATCTTATGCAAAAGACTTCTTTAAAGTGTTCAAAAACAGATGTCACTTTGGGACTAAGGTGTGCCTGACCCAAGCCATGATATTTTCAGTTACGTCATAAGCATCCGAAAGCTAGACTATGAATAAAGAATACCATAGAAGAACTGAGAATATATGATACATTTGAGATATGGTGTTGGTGAAGAATACGGAATATACCATAGACTAAAACCCTATGCAGGGTCGCTATGGGTCGGCATCGACTCGACAGCACTTAACAACAACAACTACCAAAATAATGAACAAATCTGTCTTCGAAGAAGTATAGCTAGAATGCTCTGTAGAAGCAAGAATTGAGAAACTTTGTCTTGTGGGATTTGGACATGGGATCAAGTGGGACTAGTCCCTGGAGAAGGGCATCATGCTTGGTAAAGTGGAAGGTCAACAAAAAAAAGGAAGAAGCTCACTGGGATGGATTAACACAGCGGCTGCAACAATGGGCTCAAACAGCAAGGATTGTGAGGGTGGTGCAGAACCGACCGGGAAGCATTTCATTTTGTTGTACTTGGGATCATTTTGAGTTGGAACTGACTAGATGCCACCTAATAATAACACAGCTGAAAACTTATCTTTTAAGGAAGTGGTTGTCCCCTGTTTTATGTATGTCTCAGGAAGCATTTCAGGAATAAATTAGGAATCCTTAAAAAAAATTTTTTTATTCTGACATTTCAAATGACACAGGACAGCATGTATCATTGGTGGCCAACTTCTTCTGGAGCTGAGTCTGTAGTGTTGTGTTAGGTGGTATGTATAGCAGTGACTTTATCTGAACACCATGGCACTCAGTTCAAACTTCTAGAACAACCAGCCCCATTGTGCTCTGTGTTCATTGTCTTTCTTCTCCTTTTGCCGGTGTGTACCTACGTTTTGTGTCTTTTGTACCTGATGGAGGCCGTGATGAAAACTGTAACTGTTGTTAGTTGCTGTCGAGTCAGCTGTGACTCATGGTAACCTTGTATATAACAGAAGGGAATGCAGCCTGATTCTGGGCCATTTTCCTAATCACTGCTTATGTTTGAATCCTTTGTTGTGGCTATGGTGTCAGCCATCTCATTGAGGGTTTCCCTCAGTTTTGCGAACCCTTTAACTTTGCCAAACATGACGTCCTTTTCTAGTAAGTGAGATGAAGTCTAGTTAACCTCGCTCCTAAGGAGCATTCTGATTGTATTTCTTCTAATATTGATTACTTTGTTCTTCAGATAGTCATTACTCTTCACCAATACAACAATTCTAATGCATCAGTTCTTTGGTCTTCCATTTCCATTCCTTTCTTATGTCTTCATGTGTGTATAACAGAGCTCAAATGGCAAAGCAGACGTTGGTAAATAAATGTGTGTTGAATGAATGAATGAATGAATGAATTTGGAACGTAAGTCACTGCCCTTTGTGACTGACAGTCAGATACTCCTGCGTGAAGCTGTTCCATCATGCATGTAAGATTCGCTCCACTCTAGGTTTGATCAGAAACAATTAGTTTTCCAGAACATCACCAGCTAAGAGATCTTTATTCCTTAATCATTTTCAGTCTCTATCATTGTTTCCTCACAGTTCAGGGCTCAGAACCACCTCCTGTTTATGTTATTTTCCTCCAAAGTAAATATTCAGTTCCTAATTACTTTGAGCCAATTTCTGATAGAGAATTGTATGTGTGTTTTGGCGACTTTCCTGCTGTCTTGCCCTAGGAATGGGGAAGACCTTCTTTCTTCCCTCTACTTTTGAAGATCTCTTAGAAGGTTTTTCTTGGCACCTTGATGCTGGGGAGACCCGTACACCTGGATGCAGGGATGGCCACACCCAGCTTATGCAGACAAAGATAGAAAAAAAAAAAAAAGCGATCTCTCATGCAACTGTCAAATAATCAAAACTGATCCAACCATCAATCCACACATAAATTAAGTAACCTGGTTTACATTAGGTGTCACTGAACTGGCTGCTCTTCCTTTTCACACATTGTACTTTTCTGCCTCCATGCCTTTGCTCTTGCTGTCCTCTTCTTCTTTCTCTCCATATTCTCACCTCATATCTGTCCATCAGCGTTGGTTTCAAATGCCTCCTTTACATCCCTTGCCATTTTTCCATCTTGTATTATAAGGTGACTGTCTGGTCTCCCCCACCAGGCTAAGCTCCCTGTGCACAAAGACCACACTGTTTGAATCCATGGTGGTGATTTGAGTAGTAGGCATGCAGTCAGTCTGCAGGAGGAGTGACTTGCTGGGTCTTGGGCTATGTCCAGTTCTGCTCTCGTGTTAGTATGCTCATCTTGCCAGGGCTCCCTGTTCTCCAGCACTTAGGAGCCTCCTGGTCTGCTTCCCTTACACTTTGTCCCAGCACATACTTACCTAGCAGTTGAATATGCAGGCTCTGTACATATCAGCTATTTTATCAGCAGAACTACAGAGTATTTTACAAGTAATCAGTTCATGCAGATTGCACATAAATCATGCTTGCTCTAGCCCTGTGGACACTAATGTTCCCTTATTAAGGCATGCGTAAGCCTTCCTGTTCTCATCCATTCTTTCGACTTTTTAAAAAGTTATTTAAAAGTATAGCCTAGTGCTGCTGCACCACTTAAGCTGCCCCCCCCCCCCCCCCCCCATGCACAGCTTTTTTGAGGTTCAGTTTGTTTTTCTGGAGCCTGCCAAATTGCCTTAGGAAGCTGAGGGCCTTGTGAATGGATTGAGCAAAGGGAAATCCTTATCTCTAAAGGAAGCGGTCACCGCGTTTCTGTTTGTGATATTCTTGGCCCGTTAATATTTTTGTGAAATATGTTCTGATGGCAGCACTTGCACCCTTGAGAGGAGGGAAATATTGGTCATTCTCAGTGGACACAAGGAAAATATCTCCTTTTGTGCTAAAGTCTGGGGAGTGGAGAAAAAGTCATTTCACGAATAACATTCTGCCTAAATAAACAAAGAACCTTCACTGTTTTTAATCCCTTGAATGACTGGAAGCTCAGTCCACCCTAGCATGCACATTATTTGAACATTTCTCCATTTTCTTTTCAAACTCTAGTTACAAATCTTTGAGCTAACACACGTTGATTTCTGCTTCCAATTTCTCTGGCCCTGCTATTAGTGTTCAGCCAGTTTTCATTTTGGTCTAAAATGACTCTTGAAGAGCGTGGAAGAACTATTATTTCCCATAGTTTAGTTTCAAAAAGAATGAAAGGGGACTTTTTATAAAGCCGCCATCTACTTTTAGAGATGTTTAATGAATATGAATTCCTGTCTAAATAATTACTGTTGAGGGTAGAAAGGACTTTGGAGTTTGTAAATTATCACAACAACTTAATATTCTCTCTTAGCAACCACAGAGAAGGTGACATATCTGTTGTTTTGTTTTGTATTTTTTTTCCCCCAAAATGGGCTGACACTATAATGCACAGTATTGCTTCATAGATCCCGTTTTTTAATCGTGCACACAGATTACAGTGAAACTGAGACACTCTGAAGTATTGTTTTCCTCAGAGACGCGAAAGAAATCTATTAAACAGTATGCTCTTGGTGTTTAAAAATCACAGGATGGCTGGTTGTGACATCTTCACAGAACGAGAAGTCAAACTGGGTACTGAGCTAGCAGAGTTGTTCAGGTTTTTTGTCAGATAATACATTATACTCGAGATTTCATAAAGACTGGGATCTTCAGAAATGTCAGAGAATCTTTTATATATACTATGAAGTTTAAAAACAAAATCTCAGTTAAAAAACAAAATCATACATTCCCCTCCCACTTCCGGTTTTTTTTTCCCCCCACTTTTTGCTACAGCTGCTGAAATGGGTTGTGGATTGAACAAATTAGAGAAACGCGATGAAAAACGGCCTGGGAATATTTATTCAACTTTGAAAAGGCCTCAGGTGGAAACCAAGACCGACGTGTCCTATGAATACCGCTTCTTGGAGTTCACGACTTTGAGCGCTGGTGAGTACCCTCGGGCTCTTGGAAACCGGGGAGGGTTTGGGAACAGCCTAGCCCCTGCAGCCCTGTCCATAGCTGGGGTTCCCAAGAACAAATACTGGCTAGGACATAGTTTGAGAGGTGGGTGAGTTGGTGGGGTTTGTGAAGACTTTAAAAAAAACGGACCTGTCTTCCTGGGATGGTTTACAGAAATGCAGATTCTTAAAGTGAAACTTCTCATTTTCTAAAACATAGCAGCTAGTTAAAATCGCTAATTGAAATGATAACTAATCGAAGTTACAAGATGAATAATACACATGGGTGGGCTGTATTTGGCCTATGGGCCACCCAGTTTGCAGGCTCTGTTCATAGTAAACCTCCCCACCCCTTGGAAAAGGAAATTTGCTTTGTCTATTCATGCTAATCTACTGAGCCTTCCCCAATTCACTGACTGCCTATTCTCTGCCATCTTTCAAGAGTGCTTTTCTTTCTGGATGTGAGTCTGCCTTACTTGAGCCTGGGGGTGTCTGGGACACCTTCCTAGTGTCCTGAGGCCTGAGCTAACAGGGGCTGGTACTGGCAAAACTGGAAAGGGATGGTCAACTTAACCACTCTAGAACATTTACTGAGCACCTACTGTGCGCTGTGTTGGGCTGGGTCTGGGGAGAAATTATGACGCAGGTCCTGGTATCCTGCAGTCTCTTTGCTAACATACACATGAAAAAAAAAAAATAACGTAACAGGTTATAAATGTAAGGAGGGAAACATGTAAAATGTGTTTTCAGAACTGGAAAAGAGGCTGGTCCCAGGAAATTGAGAGCAAAAATCAGTCACTGCATAAACTAAGGCTTAAAATATACCCTAGGCTTCGGGATGTATTTTAGGCTTCTATTGACATACAGGAGTCCTGGTGTGGCACTGTAGGATCAGCACTAGACCTCAAGGTCAGTTTAAACCACAAGGTCAGTGGTTCAAACTCACCAGCTGCTCCTTGGAAACTCTGTGTTGTTGTTGTCAGGTGCCATCGAGTCGGAACCGACTCATAGCGACCCCAAGCACAGCAGAACGAAACAATGTCC